TGTGTGCGTGTGTGTGTGCGTGCGTGTTGGTTTTTGTCGCCTGTGGGCACGTGTGGCAAGAAGTAATTAAAATTCAGATTTATGACAAAGACTTAACAAAGTTATTATGGCAGCTAGCCGAGACTGAGGGAGTGAGAGGACGAGTGTGTGTGTGAGTGAGTGAGGTGCAGATGATTATTAAGTACAACATGCTCGGCAAGGACAGCAGCCGCACAGCCACTTAGCCTGTCATTATGTGGGACACTTGGCAGTCAGTCAGGGCGGGGTATAACAATTCTGACAATTCGGACACGCGTAATGCCTTTAAGTATGCACATATATATACATAGATATTTATATATGGACAAAGCAGTTGGACATTGAGGTCATTCGGTTAAATGGCAGCTGGGGCTCATGTCAATTTGTGTATATCATAAATATTGCCCGATTGGCCAGAAGCGCTGGCTCATTACTGTTAATAGAGCATTCATAATTCGTTGCGCCTGGTCTGGCGAAATATTATCTACTTCATTATGCTCGCATATTATGCACGTGTGTGTGCTCGCTATGTATATGACACAATTACTTAGCACACGTCACAGATTTTCACTTTTGTTAATGCCACCCACGGCGACCCACACAGAGACACGCCCATACACACACACACACACGCAGACATGTGTGCGCCATTCATGCATTTGCATTGTTTTATTTTTAATATAAAATTTGCATTGTTTTTGTTGCGCAGTGTTGCGGAATGTGGGTCAAGAGCATTGAATGCCACACAGAAGTGCCAACACATGACCAAGAGCCGTTGGTTTTGTTGCAGCCACGCTTGCAACCCGTAAGCACTCTCAATAATACCAATAATCATTGTAGCCAAGGACAGCGGCATGAGCAAAAAAAAATGGAGAGAAAATCGCACACACGTCGTATGATTGATTGCTTTTGTGCATTGGGCAGTCTGTGATGAAATCTCAAAAAAAAAAGGTCAGAAAAGCTACGAAGACTATTTGATGCGCCATCAACAAGCCGGAGAGCCAAAATATGATTACGATAGAGTCAAATGGAGGCAAACGTATTATTTTGATGAATAGTTGAGCATTGCAGAATGAGAGAAAATACGGCTTACCTGCCTGCCCAATCAGCTAATTGAGTTCGTGAAGGTAAATCAATAATGTGCATGCTCCAGAGACACAAAGTTGGACTCATTCTAAAACTTTGCTCTGGGCAGGGCCATCAAATGTTTATTGAGGTGGACTTTTACTGCTGGCAGTCTGGCATAGTTTTAATTGACAGTCGTTTCCAAGTGCCAGTGGACATGACGGCAAGTCTTAAGCTCTGCTGATAGTCACTCAATCAGCCTCAGACAGCGTTTGGCTAGCGAGCGTTGCTCATGCAAATCTCTGGTCAAACATCAAATTTGCAGTTTCGCCTTTGTCTCTCCCTCTCTCTCTCTCACTCTCTCTCACTCTCCCGCTCTCGCTCTCAGGTACGCAAACTCAATTTATATGCAGCTGGAGCAGAGACGACAGCACACATGTGCATGCTCAGATTTAAGACAGTGTTCAACACTGGCTATGGCCGTGTCCTGTGACAGGACACGCTCGGTACGTGCGCAAATACCAAAAATGTGTGTGTGTGTGACAGCCGCGCAGATACATCCATAGTCGAATCCCTTGCCATAGCGTCACAGGCACGAAAAGGGCTAATTTCAGTACTTGAAAACTATTCTGACTTCGTTTCGCACAGCTGAATGTGAGATAGTCAGGAATAAAAAAAGAATCTAGTTAAAACTTGGCAAATACGTAACTTTTTTTATAAAATAATTTGAAGATAACACCTCAGAGCATACGTGGGCTTAAGTTATGCAGAGCAGCAACAGTGGCAGCAGCAGCAGCAGTGGCAGGGGCAGAGGCAGCGGCAGTGGCAGAGGCAGAGGCAGTGGCAGCTGCACGAATGTCATGCATATTCAGAAGCTGAAGCACATGAGCTGCCGCCTCTCCGCCTGCCGCTGGCCTGTAAATGATGTCACAGCTGCGGCCCTTCGGCTTGGCTGGCTATTTGCACGTCTTGGGCTTATTTTAAATATTTTATAAATAAACACAAATGCAGCACAACCTGACGCGGCACGTGACTCTGGAGCCGGGCACGTGGCCAGCACTGCGTATGCGTAATTCCACAACATTTACGGCCCGTGCTGCCATGACTCAGCCACAATTAGCAGCAGTCGCTCCTTAACGCATTAGCGTTAGCAAGAAATGAAAGTCCAGTAGCCAATTTAGTTTTTGCGCTTAATTGCGTTTAACTTTGTCATGTGCAAGTCCTTGAGTCCTTGCCGCTCAAGGGCAGCCAGAGGAGCTTCGAAAATTCAGCACTTTTTTGCTCAAAATCCCAACGAGCAGCAGCTAAATGTAATCAAAACATTTTAAATGAGAATTTTGTAATATTTGCATAAACTCAAGAAGCTACAAAGAGAACGTAATGGAAATAAGCTAGAGATTGCAGGCGCAGGCAGCTCTGGACCTGGGCAGGCGTTACTTGCAGCTAAGAAATGATTACAGTCATGAGCAGGACAAGATGAATTTTGCATGAGCGCTAAATCATTTTGTAGTAAACGAAATGAATGCAAATCTGACGCGACACGAATGTCTCTCTGTGCCTGCATCATTGGGCTGCAGGAAAAATTTAAGAGAGAGAGAGAAAAAAATAGAAATGCTGTACATACGGGCGGAGCAACGGAATGAAATTTATTTTGCTGCTGCAGCTGACAGTTGGAACACAAAGCGTGCCTGGGAATTATTTTACAAAGGAATTATTTTACAAATTTATGTGTATGCAATTTATTGTAGTTAAATATGAAATAATGCTATTGGCAAGGCCCAAATTGCGCTTGGCTTAAAATGTTGGCAACAGACGAAAGCTGAAGAACTGAAAGAGATTTTTAGGTTGAACTCAGGCAGGAGTGTATACACAATTCAAATTGAAGCAATTTCGATTTTTAATAGGCATTCGTTAGTTGTTTCCATTTAAAAGGTTGGAGGTTAGGCGATGGCTTCAGCAGGACATGTATTAAAAGTCAGCCTCAGACAGGAATTGGTCAGCGAAGCATAGTTCATGCAAATCTCAGGCCAAACATCAGATTTACTATTTCTCTCTCTCTCTCTCTATCTCTGTGGCCAAAGCCATTTCTCAGCAAGCATTGCTCATGCAAATCTGAGGTCAAACATTTAATATGCAGTTCCATTTCTCTCTCTCTCTCTCTCTCTTACACTCTCTCTCTCTTTCCCACTCTCCCTGCACTCACTGCAATTGCTCAGCGAACATTTTTCATGCTAATCTCTGACTAAAAATCATTGTTCTCTCTCGCTCGCACTCTTGTTCTGTCTCTCTTTGGCCTTACGTATAAGATCCAGTCGGTCCAAGCACAAACACAAAATATATTGCGCAACCAAATTCAAATTCAATCACTCTAGTATTTCTATAAAATATCAACAATTTTAATTTTCTAGTGGAAATACCAAGATTTAGCTCATGTAAGCAAAAACCAAATAAATTGTCAAAGACAAAAACCAAAATTAGATTATTTTATCAACTACGATTAAAGGCTTTATTCGAGAGACGTTAATGCACACACATAAAATATTAAGTCTCACATAAATGATTTTGCATTTTAGCAATTCAAAATGCATTATGCATTTGTCTATCACAGTCGCCCTTAGGTGACTCGAGTAAATCTGCTGTCAGACTAAGACTTGATTTGAGCCAAGTAAAAATCTGTTCCTCCCATCGCCTAACTGCCATCAACTGCTGCTGCTGCACAGCCATTTAGCTCATATTAAATCGCATCACACGTAACCCACGGCTGCCTCGCCTGTTGGGCTGCAGTTGGGCAACTCGACACAGTTAATTGCTAATTAGCCCGGGGCGTCGTTGCGAAAATGAATAAGCTCATTTGGCAGCGCTGCATCCGTCAGGCATCTTTATCAAATAAAAAAAATATAGTGAAGCACGTAAACTGACTCCGACCGAGCCAGCAACCACATTCACACGCAGAGCCCTGCAAATGCAGAGCTTAATTTGCTGTCCGACTTTTTTTTTCGTTTTTTTTTTTTTTTTTTTTTTTTGCATTAAATATGCAATCAACATGCGACGGAGTGCACAACTTTCACTCTCGTCCCCTTTGGGGCAGCGTCGACGCGAACACATTGCGTATACGTAATGCGATTAGCCTAACCGCGCTTACAGCCATGGCAGCCATATCTCTGTCTAGTTCTGAATAGCGCTTAGGGAGCTGTTCGTTTTGATTGCGTGCTTCTTCTTCTCTTTTTGCGTGTGTTTATGTATTTGGGAATATTCGAAATTTATGACCAGCGTGGACCAGAGGGGAATTGGATACGCAGCATCATTTGTTTGTATTTGTGTTTGCCCCCTAAGATTCTGACAAATGGCAATTTGACATAGGTTTGTCTGATATTAAGTTAAACTAGATGAACTGGGTGTTAAATGCGTTTTCAATTGAATTTGAATTTGGTTGAATTTACTATGGGAGTTTCGATACAAGCGAACTGATATGAGATAAGGGGAGCTTGATTATAAGCTAAATAATTAAGTATAAGTATAGCTAAATAAAATCTGAATAAAAATTGCTGCAAATGGAAAAAAAACATCTGTTCAATTCGCGAAACTTTTCAAACAGACCTCGCATGCTTAGCTATTAAAACTATAATAAATAGCCACTAGTTCATGTTTGGCGCCACCACATGAACAGCACTTAATTAAAACTAGCTGAAATTGTTTGAGTTTAGCGCAAAGTTTCAATTGGGGCAGAGCAGCAAATACTAATTTAGTACTTAGGGCGGTCAAGAGAAAGCACTCAGGGGCGGGGCAAAACTTTTCAATTAAGCGCTGGCCAAGTGGCCACTTGGCTGTCAGCACAAAAAGAACCAAAGAAATACAACTAACGTAAAATTTCGTCCCTGCTGTGATCTCTCTCTCTCTCTCTATCTCTCTCGCTCTAGAGCTGTGCCATGCTGCGCTGAAGATTCAGTCCACTTTCCGTGGCCATCTGGCACGCAAGCTGGTCAACAAGGATGTGCCGGAGGACGAGGACATACAGGAGATAACCAAGAAGGTGGCCGAGGAGCTGGACATTGATTTAACCGATCCGGAACTAAACAAGGCCGCCACCAAAATCCAAGCATCGTTCCGCGGCCACAAGATCCGCAGGGAAACCAATCCCGAATAAGCTGGCCAATGCGCAGACTTTTCAATTTGTTGGTGTCGGCTGACCACAGAGCAGTCTACAAATATTAAAGAAACATAAATTAAAAAAAAAAAAAAAAAAATTGATTAAACAAACAGAAAACAAGAAACAAAAATTGGTAAAATGTAACTGTGCAAAGTGTTTGATGAAGCCTGCACTCTTGTAAACTTCTTAGAAAATATGTTAATTAATTAATTAATAATATGAATAATTCATTATTTTATAAGCAATAATTAAATTGATTGAAAGTTTTGAGTTCTTCAATTCTACAACTAAATGAAATCTGTCAGAGAATCAATCGATTTATTCTATAAGCTAGTTGGATTTGTTGTGTGGAATGATTTGCTAGAGATCAATTAGTATATATATAACTATATATATATATGTATCTCTATATGAATTCCATTCGTAAATGATGTGTAAAGCCGACCCGAGCCAATTATTAGCTTATAACTGAAGCCTATAATGGAAACTTCCTTGTTTAGTAATTTCTATCATTAAATAAATATTTCAAAAATTAAAAAATGCATAGCTTTTTGCCTACAGAAAACAAGAGATTTATAATTTGCCAACTAAATCATTTAAAATAATTTCATATTGTAGAGTATTATTTAAACTCTGCTTAAGTAAATCCAAATAAACAAAAACCAAAGGCAAATCAGTTTTTAAAAATTAATTTGCAAAGCATGTTAAAAAAAAAATACAAAAAAAATTATGAAAAAAATGGCACGATGTTCCAAAATTTATTGTAGGGCAAAACAATGAAGACAAACCCAAGGAAAATGCTGAAACATTTTTGAAATTTAAACGGTTTGTCTGGCCAAAGCCAAAACCAAAACCAAAAACCAAATGCAGTGTATTGTTGTACCTACATAAGGATAAACTAAAAAAAAAAAAATCAAGTAAAAAAAAAAAATTAAAGTAATATAAAAAAAATATAAACATAATTTGTAACTGACACTCGATGTTAATAAATTGAAACAAGCCCGCAAGGCACATTAGGGGTACTCTAGCGACAGCAGCTACGAAACGTCAACAAATTTTTTCAGCGAGCTACTAAAAAACTGATCAACAAGAACTCAAAACTAATCTGGTGGCACAATTTTTTGTTTTTCTACCAAGTGTACTACAAGTTTGTCTACTTGAAAACAAATATATATATTATCAAACAACAAATATTTATATATATACATACGTACGAGTATTATAGAGAATTGAAAGAAAAAAACCAAAAACCAAAATTAAAACAACATTTAAAACCAACTAAAAACTAATTCAAATGCTGGTGAAATTGCAGCAAAGAAAAATTGTTACAAAAAAAAAATAAATAAAAAATAAAAATAAATAAACAAAGACAAACTACAAATAAATGTTTAAAATTCAAATTAATTACTACTAAATAAATAAAGAAGAGCATTAAATTATATTAGAGATCAAAGTAAAAATTCTACTAAAAGTGCATAACACACAGCTACATTAAACCAAAGTAAATAGTTGTAAGAGACTAAAAATTATTGATGAGCATAAATCCAGAAGGCATATACATATATACATCCAAACAATTAAAAACAGCAAATGGAAAACATACAACAAAATGTCCCAACTAAATTTTAATTGAGTAATAAAAATAAATAAAACTTCAGAAAATGCAACAAAAATTGTGAACATTTTTTCATTCAACTGAAGGAAGATCTATTTCTCTCTTTCTTTGCCTCTCTCTCACAGTCCACAAGCAATTGCACTTTACTGCTTGATTGAGCATTATATATTTAGTTCACTGTAACAGAGCTACTTGTCAGACATCTCGGATTTTCTCAGGCAACGTTTGAAAGTGATTTGTCCTCCTGCTGCTGCTGCTACTGCTACTGATGTTGCTGCTGGAGCTGCTGCTGCTGCTCCTCCTCCTGCTGCAGCTGCTGCTGCTCAAGGTCTTCTTGCTGCAGTTGACATTTGCTTTTGATGCATCTACTCCGGCTAAGGCTTGTGGTTTATAAATAAGAAAATTAACAAATCAGTTTGGAAATGTTCTCTCAGCTCAGCTCAGCTCAGCTCGTTGAGTGCTATAAATATGCAAAAGTTGCTCGTTGATTTCAGCTGGAATGGGGCGAGAGCGGCCATCATCAGCGTTGGTAATTTTATTGATGGCACAAAAGACACAGCTCGACGCTGCCAAGTGGATTGCAGCACTGCCAGCAGCAGCAGCAGGAGTAACAGGAGTAACAACAGCAGCAGCAACAACAGCAGCCAGCTGAAAGTTGTGCAGGTAGCGAGTGCAGGCTGGACAAGGATAGACAAACAAGCTGCGAGGCGAACTTCACGGACACTGTTGCCACGAGGTCCTTTTACAACAATAAAGCACGTCGGCTGCTGCTGCTGCTGCTGCTGCTTCCACTCATGCTGCTGATGATGATGATGATGATGATGCTGATGCTGATGGAAGGTAAAGTATGAGACAGCATAATGAGTATGACAGCTTGACCCACAAAAAAAGAGAGAAAGCGGTGAGCAGCTGTGAGCACACAAAATGCAGGCAAGTCAAACACTTGAGACGTCAAAGTTAAAGTGCTTTAAGAAAGTGCCATTTGACAAACAAATGAAAATTGTTCTCATATTATATTTATATATATATTTTTTTTATATATTTAAGTTGCGTTCACTTGGGCAACAAAATGTGCATATCCACGACAACAGCAACAATGAAGTTTACAAAATGCACAAATCCGCGGGGAGCGCATCAAAATTGGACGAGTGCCACATGACGTAGGTGTGACTGCCAAATTGAACTTGCCACAGTCGACAGTCAACAGTGGCGTCGGCGAGGGGGGGAGGGGGCCCAGGGGCAGGTACAATTTACATGCCATTGCAATTGCATGTCAATTTGAGCTCCCAGCACTCCTCTTTATGCACCAGAGGACAGACAAAAGCGTTTGGTATTCAGTAAACCTGTTCTCTTTTTACTTCTCTTTGTTTTTTTTTTTTACTGACTTTTTCACGGCTCACAAATATTTCAACGGTAAATTTATGCGCTTCCGTCTCCACGCGAAAAGACAAAAAAAAAAAAAAAAAGGGGGAGAGAAAAACGAATTGCAAGCTATCTGGCTGTGTATATGGCTTGCTCGTGTGCAGCATGGCGTATGCGCAATTTATGAGGCCCTAAAAACAAAGCGTTGTATAAGTGCTCGGGGCATAAACAAAAGCCGGCAACTAAGTGAGCAATGTGTCTGTCTACCCAGCAGCGATCACAACTAGCAAACACATTGACTCGAAATGGCAAAATGGTAAAAGGAAAGTAATTGGAGTCGTTAAAAGTACATCAAATGATTGTGTTTACAATTGAATTAGTTATAGGAATTTTTCGATGATGATTACATTTGAGTATAGTTGAAAATAGGGTAAAGGATTGTTGAACAGCAAATTGAAATCAAATTATTATTATCTAGTTTGAGTTTGAGAGGTGGAGAGAAGCTCTAATATTAGGAACTTAACAGATACATCAAGAGCAGAAATATATCTAATAAGTTTATTACAATTACAATTTCACCTCGATTTCCTATTCAGCATTACGTTTTATTAGACATTAGAGTTAATAAAAAATGAAAAAAAAAAAAAAAAACTTAGAGCTCCGCACTGGCTTTTGGGGCTTTTCGGCTAATTGAATATATTTTTGTTTTCTTTTCAACACTTTAAAAGCTATTTAAGCTTTGGAATGGATGTGTGTGGCATTGCATACAGTCATTTATCGTTCCCTCTCTCTCCCTCTCTCTCTCTCTCTCTCTCTCTCTCTCTCTCTCTCTCTCTAGAAGCTGCACTCAACATTTATCGCACATTTGCAGTGGCAGCAAATGCAGCACACGTCAACTTTCAATTTCTAAAAAAAACCCTTTAAGTGGAATGGGGACAGAGCGGAAGGCGAATGAAATCCGTGCCAAAGAAGCAACAGCATCCAATCAAAAGGGCCGCATGCTGGCTGCTGCTTTTCACACCTTTTGTGTGGATAGCAACCGCAAAATATGCCAGCAGAGCACACACACACACACACATAAGAGTATATTCGTTTAACTGTAACCGTTGCACTTAAGCGCATTAAAATGCCAACTGCAACTGCCATGAGAAATGGCTAAACTGCAGTCCCCAAAATCAGTTTCCACTGCCACAGTCAGAGATATGGAAACTAGCCGAATTCGCTAAAGTGTTGGCGGATCTTAGCTAAAAGCATTTTGGAGAACACGCTCAAGTGTAATGCAGTGCAATTCGAACGCTCGCTGCAATTGCCATTCGACTTCATTTGTTTTAGCCCCTCCATGGTCGACAGCTGTCCTTTAGCTGTCTTTCTGGCCATTCCGCCTGTCGCACTTCCTCTCGCAAACAATTTGCCTCCTGCTACGCGCACCAGTTTGTTCATTACGCTGCCTGCCTGCCTGACTGTCCGCCTCGTCTGACAACTGTGCCCGGAGCTAAATTATATAAGCATGGGAATATCTTTTCCAGTTCAGTTTTATCTATACTCTATACAAAATATATACTTTTCATTAGTGTCCAAGCAATTGTTTTTATCCCCAAGCAGAAATCAATTTTATTTTCCTGCCTTTGCAGACTCTGTGAGCAAAACTGAATAAGTCACGAATTATAGAAAATATTTATTTGTTTGCTATTTTTTGTATCAGTTAGTTTATTACAACCATACTTTGATCAACCATGGACCTTAAAACGTGGTACTATTTTTACACATTTGTTGGTCGCCACGTCTAGCTTATGCATATAAGGGCAACGTTTTTCGATCACAATTTGTGGTTTATTCACACGATGGTTACAGCCCTTTGCCGGACATTTCACACATTCCAATTGTTCCTGCTGCCACACGTGACCATCAGCGCAGTTAGGTTTTATAAGGATAGTGGGTTGCAAGTTACCTATTCTGCCCAGGCTCGGATACGGGTAAGGCTCTACGCATTTGTTAATAACGGGGTCGTAACCCCAAGTATCTATTTCACGATCAACGATTAGCGAAATGAACACAAAGTTTTGCTATGGACAACAACAATTTCTACTCACAATAACACTTTACTTTGTTTGGTGACGCCAGACTAAGAGGCAGCAGAAGCAACCAAGGGATGACTTGAAGTAGATGGCGCATTTTGTACTAGTCAATCAAGCCAAGCAAAGTTGAATATAAATATAATAAAGAAAACCAATTCCTTACAGCTATGGAAATTTAGCCATTTCTTATGCATATTTACGCCAAGCGTAAAGTAATTCATGCGTATTGATTTATATTGTCATTGCATTGAAAAAAAAAAAAACAAGTAAAAAGGCTCCAGTCGAGACTGCTCGACTAGGAGATACCCTGAACCTTCCAAGCTGATATTCTACTCATTCTGCACTTCTTTTATGCACACATACATACACATGCATCCATGCGTACTTATAAGCACGCGCTCTGCTATCTGCGCAGTAAGCAGCGACTGCGCAGCGAGAATTGAATGAGAATTTACTTGTTGAATAATTTCTCTTGTGGTAAGACTATCTTTATGAAACTTTCAGAGTGTGATTATATAATTAAAATGTGTGTACATTCCAAAGCACAAGTCTCTAGTACTTTTTTACAAATTGGTGGCGAAGGGGGGGTCGTATCCAAAATCTATAAATTACAAAATTTTCGTAATCATCATATGTGTAAACACAGTAAATCTGAAGTATCATGGGTTAAATGTGTTCAAAATAGGCTGAAAAAAACAAAATTAATTTTTCGATTACTCTTGATGAAAAAGTTATCGACCGAGTTATAGAAATAATATGATAAACTTGTACTGCGTATGGTACACACGAGTATGCATACCAAATTTCAGCTCTGTAGCTCTTTACATACATACTTCTCTAGTTACATACTTCTCACAAAACCATTATACCCCGATTTCCCATTTTCAATGTCCGTCCGTCCGTATGTATGAACGCGTCGATTTCAGAAGATATAAGAGCTAGAAACTTCAAATAATTTTTTTAGATGTCCATATATACAGCGCATATACAGCGATATTAAGTTCATCACCCAAAATCGATAACTCATCCCGTTATTTTTTATCGATAAAAAACCTTATCGAAAACCAGTTCTAAAATTATATCTCCTACACATTTAACGCTAGAGTCTCAAAATATTTAATTTATACTTATAAGCATTTTATACAATTTCTGTTTTTGTTCAAATTTACCCCCCACCCCTACATTCTATATTGTGCTTTGGCAAATACATGCATATCCATGCTATAATCATAATCTGAACGTTTCATGAAGATTGTAGGTCCAGAAGAAAAGTTATTAAACAATTAAGTTCTCATAGCAAGCGCACACTGCAGCCCATGCGTGTTTAGCCGTGGGTGCTTGTGTGCGTGTAGTTGAGTGTGTATGTGTGTGTGCGCGTGTGTCTTGTGTAAGCAGGAAGACGCTAAAAATGATTGAAATAGCTATTGCTCGAAAGGTGCAGCATATCTCGTAGTCGAGCAGTCTCGACTAGAGACTTATTTTTCAGTTAGTTTATTGATATTCTACGTCTGAAAAACAGCCATACCTTGATCAAACTTTATAGGTAATAACAGGTGGTACTAAGTTTACACATTTTTTGGTCGCCAAATTCAGATACTGCATATTAGGACAATGTTTTTCGAGGAGAAGTTGTGGTTTAGGCGTACTTTGGTTACAGCCCGTTGCCGGACATCTCACACATGTCATTAGTTCCTGCTGCCAGACGTGACCCTCAGCACAGTTAGGTTTTATAAGGATACTGGCTAGCAAGTCATTTGGTCTATATGTGGTGTGAACAGCCCCATAAGGCGGTACACACTTGTTAATAACGGAGTCGTAACCCCAATTATCTGTTTCACGATCAACGATTAACGAAATGATGTTATTTGTGTTTTGCTATGGACAACAACAATTTCTACTCACGATAGCATTTTGATCTACGTGGTAACGCCTGACTAAGAAGCAGCAGAAACAACCAAGGGATGACTTGAAGTAGTTGACGCATTTTGTACTAGTCAATCAAGCCAAGCTGTAAGCAACGTTAAATATACAATCCAATTCGTTACAGCTATGGATAATTATTTAGCCATTTCTTATGCATATTTACGACAAGTGTAAAGTAATTCATGCGTATTGATTTATATTTTCTTGCATTAGAAATAAAAATCAAAACAAATTTATAAATGTATTTGTATATCAATGAATATGTATTCTTTTTATTTTGAATATTGTTCCGTGATTTTATTTTTTATTAAATATTTAATCGAATAATTATTTGTAAATAAATTTAAATTTAAATTTTATATTTATTGACACAATTTTAAATATTTCAATATTTTCATATTTACATATTTTTATTATTAATTTTTTAATATTTTTATATAATATATTTGTAATATATGTATCTTATAATATACATAATGAAGTATAAATATTTATCATTTTATTAATCAACCAATTAAAATATTTAATTATATTTTCATTATATTTAAAAAAAAAAAAAAAAAAAAAAAAAAAAACTGTTTTCCTTTTATTAACCAAGCTGAACGCTTTTGAATTTGGCAGCACTCTACTATAATATACTAAACAAACTGAAAGGTTTCAACGTCCCTGAAATAAGTGAGAGTATTTACTTTTCATTAGTGTGCCCCTGTTATTACTTCCCACGAATAGTGTTTTATTCCCCAAGTAGAAATCAATTTTCTTTGTCAGCCTTTCCAGACTCTTTGAATAGAACTGAAAAAGTCTTTTTTTCAGTTAGTTTATTGATATTCCACGTCGGAATAACAACCGTACTTTGATCAACTTTTAATTAGGGTTGTCGAAAATATATATATATATATATATATGTTGTTTTTTTTTGGCCAAATATCAAATATATTAGCGATTTTTTTATATATTTGAACTGGCTACTCTTGTGATAAGTGAACCAAGCGCAAAAGTAAAAAAATGAATATGGTGAAAACGATTTATTCGGAATTTAAAAATGGAACAGCCAAATGTAATTTGTGCCTTAAATTAATGAAAAAAAGCGATCTTTATTATTTTAATAAAAACATACTTATTCTTATTATTCTTGTTTTTTGGGACGAATCATAAATTTCTTGTGGGAAAAAAATTTAAGAAATAATCGAAAAATATTGATATATCGATTTTTTAAAAGTTGCATATCAAATATCATATTGATATTTTTTCAAAACTTAAAATATCATCGATGCTATATTTTAAAAACGATTGACAAACTTCTTTATAGTAATTGTAGGAGGTGGTACTATTTTTATACACTTGTTGGTCAGCAAGTCCAGATAATGCAGGATAGGGCATTGCTTTTGGGGTTTAGGCAGTGTGTCCATCACACGATGGTTGCAGCCCTTCTTCGGGCATGGCAAAACGCATGACATTACTGCCTTCTGCCAGACGAAACCATCAGCACATTGAGCTTTTACTAGGATCGTGGGCTGCAAGTCACCCAATTTGCTTACGATAGCCTTGAACTTTTCGCATTTCTTGGTAGCAGTGTTGCGATAGTAAGGATCTGTTACACGATCAACGATTAACGTAATGATGGTATTGGTATGTGTGGCTATGAAAAAAAAACAACAATTACTACTCACGATAGCATTTGGTGAAGTTATTTGGTGACACCAGAGCGAGCAGCAGAAGCAACCAATGGATGACTTGAAGTAGATGACGCATTTTCAATTAGTATCAAGCCAAGTGGTAAACAGCGTTAAATATACAATCCAATTCGTTACAGCTATGGATACTCATTTAGCCATTTCCTATGCATATTTACGACAAACGTAAATGCTGCCCTTTCTATCCACACGGATACTGGTTGGAATAACAAGCTGGACAACCTCAAAGTTTTAATGAGTCCAATTTAGTTCAAGTCAATGATACGCCCACCAACGACTACACAGGTAACCACCAACCACCCAGCCAGCACCGCCCACTTTTATAAATTTTCGAGACCACACAGCCTCGGGTCAATGGGCAAATATTCAGCAGCTGTCTGTAATTAGCGCTTCACAATTTATTATTTAACTCACCCATGGCGCAAATATTCAGATAATAATAATAATAAAACTAATATGCATCAACTGAAACCGTTGCGCCAAATGTCTGCGATGGCCATTAGCAATTGATTGCGTATACGTGATGTTGTACGATTTTATTGCTGCATGTTTGACAGCAACAGGAAGTTTGTGTGCGCTTGTGCTTGTGTTTGTGTTTGTGTTGCTCGCATATATTTTGTTGTTTATTAATATTTATCTTTGAAGCCAACACAAAACAACAATATGGTTATAGATAGAGCAGAGAGATGGGGCAGAGACAGTGAATCGATGCCCAAAATCGATAGCAACGCAATTTTGACAAATTCATGCAGGGCCTGGGCAATAAACGAACATATTTTCATATCACACATTTATATAATGTATATATATTTATTTTATAAGCGAACATATAACTGTACAAAAAAAAAAGATTTACTTTTTATACATATTCGTCAAATTCCACTGAAATATCCTTTTTTTTGTTATTTGGCTTTTTTTGCAGGCCAAGAGACAAACATTATTTATGCTGTCAGTAATCACAGCTTCGGTCAGCAATGCTCTCGTTCCATTTTGAAAAAATATGTATGGAGTACTGAGCTCAAAAATTGAAAACATTCTCTTTTATTATTGGAGACTTTTGACTACTTTTAGGGCATGACACTACAAGCCATGTGGGTCCTAAAAACGCACCATTTATATTTATTGGAGTTGACCGGCAAGTCGACGGCATATTGAACGCTTGAGGGTCGCTGACAAAGGATTAACCGTAAGGACAAGGCCATCGAATGCGGCGAGCTGACAAGTTGGCAACATTCATACCGTAAGATGGCTGACAGGGCTGACAAGGACATGCTTTGGTAAATTATATGAAAAGAAGAAAACTCGTTGGCATTCGGCTGGCTTCACAAAATGCCATTTAATTTTTCATGTTGTCCATTCCATTTTGTGGCCCTTCGCTCACAGCGTTGATGCTTGTTTTTCCTCAGTGTTCCTGTTTTTTGTCTTTAAATGTTATAAATGAGAGTTGTGCTCTGCTGCTTTGTTGTGTGGCTTAACCCAGAAATTAGTTGTCATTCTGCTAATAGTCCACTCGCACCTTTTTCATACAGTTATATAAATGTGTTTTTTGTGTTTATTACTTTTTATTATCATTGTCATCGTGTGGTGGAGTGTGACCACTGCGTGATTATACGCCCAAATAATATTTAATACATTTCCTGGCCATGCTGTTCCACTGCTTGCCATTGGGGCATTTACACTGGCTGGCCGGGATCATTAAAATAATGACCAACGCCAGCTGATGCAGCTTCATATTTTAGCTTAGTTCTTAGCTGGTTCAGTCCGAAACATGAGATGTTCACCAAAATAACGTTAGCTTTGCCACAGTTCAAATATAGAAATATATCGATTGGTCAGGGCTTGGTAACATTTCATTTAACGACGAGCTTCCGACACACAAAATACCATGATATCTAACTGCAAACTGCAGTCTAGCATGACAAACTGATTTGGGCATAAAAATGTGTTTAAATAGCAAATCCAACATTTCGCAACAAATATTTACACACCAAATACTAGTCGTTAATGAAAAATAAATGTATACCCTGCGTATACGCAATATTATGAGGAAATGTCTATAAAAACACATGTATTAATTATTCAACGCATAAACAAAAGATAAATGAATATGGCACGTATGTTCTAATATATATACGTATTTATTTTTTATTCAATAAATATTTTATTTTCAGGTAGATTGAGATATTTGATTTATGCATTTATGAATGTCGAAAGTATTTTGTTGAATGAATTATTATACTAATACTAATGAATTTGAAAATATATTAGTATTAACAAATTAACAAAAAAAAAAAAAAAAGAAAAATAATATAATATATATAAAAAAAAAAAAAAAACAATAATATTAATTAAAGCTTTTACCACACAAAATACAAAATAGTTACGTTATGTTTATAATATATGTGTACGTCTGTATATGTACAGATATATTTATATTTATAAAAGAAATGAAAATAAAATATTTTTAAATTAATAAAAATCAATTTAAAGGGTATGCAATTATTCACTAACTTTGACATTTAACTCCTTGTCCAAAAGTCGCATTTGCGAATGTTCGATCCGGCTACATATAATTATATATTACGTGATTATAAATATTTAATTTGTAGCTCTCTGTGGGCAAGTCCTACAAATAGTAGCTAAATTTATAATGCATACTATTTAGTGTTAACAAATCAGCGCTAGATAATGCAGAATAGCTAACATTTATTTAAAGTATATGCATATTTTTATAGCTGACCTTAGCATTTGATTTATTACTGTAGCTTTGATTGAACTTTGGCATTCTGGCAAAGCAAAAATAGATTTATTTACTACTATAGAAATAGATTTATTTACTACTATAAACTAAGTTTGAGTAGAGCTTGGGATCTACTCGTCTGCTATTTAGTTGTCATAAAAGGGAATTTTTCACCATTTTAAACACACAAAGTATGTGTGTAGTCGGCCTTTCGCTTCTATAAACCTTTATTAAACAAATGAAAAGTAAAAAATAAATAAATAACAAATTCTTTTCAATTTCGTGTTTGATTTTTAAGCTGACATCAAGTCTTAGGGATGCCAGAGGTGCAGGAACGTCGGAAATACAGACGAACTCTGATGTGTCTGCTGCGATGCTTCTTGTCAGTTGCGTACCTATGGCTAATGCTCCAGGCGGCGGCCGTGGTGCCGCTAGTTAGGGAGAAGCACAAGTGGTTCCTCTGGTTGCGGTATCTAAATTTTTTAGTAACCTACTCTTCGCTGCTGACGTTCGATGTGCGCACACAGGGCTATGTGATCTTCGTGATACTCATGATGCTGTTCCGGATCTATCAGTGTTCGCGCTGCAACTTCTGCAATCCGAGCGACGAGGTGCAGGGAGAGCGGGTGCCAATGAATAAGCGCATGTTCGTGTACTTCGGGCCCTACCTGCTGATGTTTATCACCTGCTGGCTGGCTAGCATGTACAGCTTGGTTTGCAGCCTTATCCAATTGACGCGCAATGTGGACGACATACAGCCGGATAATATATGCAAGATAATCATGACCATCCTCTTTAAGCTGTTGATCATGGCCAATGCAATTACACGCTGCATACGCGCCACTGTCTTGCTCCAGATATTCTTTGACGAGCCCGGGGAGGAGCTGCACAACACCCACAATCTGGGCGAGCATTTTAGTCTGTTCTTTCTAAACTAATTTTAAACTAAGCTACTTTTCGGTCTGTATTTTATGTAAATTAAATCCGTTTGATATTTTTAATTCTGTTACCATTTTTCTATTTTTTTTTTTTTTACCAACAAAGCTTTTTTCACTTGGCCCTTTCAGCTGTGCCGGACATGCCAGGGACAGCAGCAGCGGTTTTTTGAAGCGCTCGTTTGCTGAAAGCCAAATCAGCTGCAGCTTGTTAACGCGATTATAACACACATTTTGTAATAGCCTTGTCGGTCTGCCGAGTTATTAAAATCTAAGCCCTTCATATGAGTATGCTAATATACGTAAAACAGTTAACAGGCATAAGCTGCAAATGAATATAGTTTTTTTTTTTTTTTTTTTTTTTTTTTTTTTTAATTTGAATCCGTACAATGCAATTATAGTAACTTAACGCCACAGAAAATAATATAAAGAGCCTAACCTTCTGATATGCACAGGAGGACTTATATAATATAGTATTTAAATACAAATTAATTGAAGGTTTCATAATTCTGTCAGCTTATATAGCGATTTTTATTCTGAGAAAAAAATCTTAGGAAGCTTCATTCTAGGATTTTTGCTCAAGTAATAACTGCATATATATCTACAGTACTTCTTTTAATATAGAATATATTCCTAATTGTACTTGGAATGCATTTGAGTAACTGAATTTTTGCTATGCTCTTTCATAGGATTTTTTAAAAAAGTTTAAAAAAGACTGATATGACGTAGTCCATTTTAATTTGATATCAAAAAGAATAAACAGAGTTAAAAATAAAAAGAAAATTAAATAAAGGACTATAGCTTGAATCATATGATTGTAGATAATAGTCAACAATGTCCTCAATTATCGTTAAAAAGCGCTATACAGTGTCTGCTTCTCATATATAGAATATACATATGTATGTATGTAGAAAATATTCCCTTATTTTATCTATTTCTCGTACATTATACTCAGCATTGGCGCAATCAAGACAATTACTAATCTGATGCCACACGGAATGCCAGCCACACTCAATACCAATATAAACTACACTCCATAAAATTATACCAAATATTCGATAGGGGCTCGTTTCCAGTACATTTTCTCACTTGATTGGCTGTTTGTATTAGAAATAGTAGCATAAATTTATATCTTGACGATCTTTAAAGGCATATAATCATAAATTGTTAGCTTGAGCACCGTCAAATGGTCATGAATAACAGTTAGACCATGGGGCCAATTGCCGATTGCCAATTACATTTACATAATTTGCGTGCTCCGAGCGCGTCAAGCAATCATCATGAAAGACAAAGGCAAAGAGGAAAGCAAAAAGAGTTGGCCAACTGCAAAGAGCAAAGCTACAAGAATATTGCGGAAACTGTGGAGCTTCATCAGCGCGTGGCGCGTGGCGTTGAAGGGCCGTGTCACTGCATATGACAGCCTTGATTGAGATGCCATCAATGACAGCGACAGCAGCAGCAGCAGCAGCAGCAGCGACACTGACCTGACTCCTGCCAACAAATGGCCGCTGACCAGAGCAATCAGCTGTGTCGCAAATGGCGCAAATGGAGCAAATGGCTGTCGGAATGTGATGGCAATGGGCTTAGACAGTCGGCTGTGTGTGGGCAAGGTTAAAGCATGGCTAACGAAGCGCTCTGGCATTTGTTATTACTACAGTAAATACTATTGTGCAGCTACGAGAACCGAGAGCTCAAATGAGACTGCTGGCTGTAATAGGCTTACAGATTGTTGAATAAATCCGAAATAGCCGCACACCAAACTACGTACGGTACGTCCATGTAAGCTGCCGGCTCTGTGTGCTAAGAAAACAATCTGTATAATGCCAGGCCATGCATTTATCATCAGGCCAAACAAATTGGCAGACTTTACACATTTGCCCACTCAATCAGCTGGGCAGGTGAACAGGTGAGCAGGTGCTGGTAAAGCGACTGACAAACATGTCTTATCAACATTTATGGCAACTTTCACTCTCTCTCTCTCTCTGTCTCCCTCTCTCTCTCACTCAGGTAGACACAGCGACAGGCGCTTAGATTGAGATGTATTAAACTTAGCCAAGTTTTGAACGGCAAGAGTCATTGAAGCGCAAAATAGAGGGAATAATCTTGGCACAGTTTAAAAGCGAACTTGGCTCACTTGGCTCACTGTGGCTGCCACGCCATGCATAATAAACAACTGCAGTTGCGCTCTTGTGGGCGTGGCTGTTGATGCTGTGCAGCGATAAATTTAATAGCAGCAGCGAGCAGCACGACAAGCGGCAGGATTCGAGCTGTAGCTGGTAGCTCGTTAAGGACCTGCCTTGTCCTTGTGCGCCTAAAAGCATGCATAACGTTATTATAAGCGACCTTTCCGTTGTGCATATGTGTGTGAGTGTGAGTGTGTAGTTATTCGCATACGGGCGGCCACTCGAAACAGTTGGGTCAGCCACTCAGCAGCGCTGCTCTGCCTTTGCCCACTCACTGCCCTTAATGACTGCCCAAGCAGCCGTATTGAATTATTGAGCTCTCATCAATACACGAACGGCGGACAGTGGACAGTGGACAGTGGACAGACAGCAGTAGCTGCCGCTGTAGCTGTAGCTGTAGCTGTAGCTGTAGCAGGCTCATCATCGGCCTTATTAACAACCATGATTTGGTTGAGCCGAGACCCAGCTGGGAATCTACGTTGATCTGCAGCATACATAACATTGTATATGGCTGCTCATATATTTAAGTGAGACCTACAAAAAAGGTGCAATCACTGTACAGGGTGCTTCATGCTGGCAACAATCACGTTAAGTGCTCGCCCATTTAACCAAACACCCTGTACTCAATCGACGGAGGCTCGCTCTGCCCCACGCAGCTCGAATTGTTGCAGCATTTTTAAATAATTTATATTTCAAATAATTTGAATGGCAACGGGCAATGAGAAAAGAAAGAAATATATAAAGAGAAGGAGAGGGAGAGTCAAATCTATATGGCCCATGTCAACTGATTTTGGGTTCACATTATATTTTCCCGATATGAACTTTATTTCATTTCCTCTTCTTTTCGCATTTTCTCTCAATTTATCACTATCTAGGCATCGCGTGCAATGAGGCGCGCTTTTAGGGTCCTCCATTTCCCCTGTGCATTAACCATGAATTGGCTATAAATACTTATTTTTGTATTGCCCCTCTGGCTATGAGCCATTCATGGGGCTAAGCGCGTAATCAATGTCATAATTGCAAATGCTTTGATTGCGTAGACAGTTGCATTTGCTACTTATTGGAAGTTTGAGACGTTAATTACGCGCAGAGCA